CTCTGCTATTAACTCACTGCAATTATTCTCACCATAACTGAAAACCACTGTGTTTGGCAAGAGCTGGTGCGACATTAATGGGGAGCCCTAACAGGTCAAGGAGTCATGTGTCTTGTTAGTGGAGAACAGGAGCGACCCTTCTGAGATTCTCAGTCCGCTGCCTGACTTGTTCTCCAAAGCCACAGGCTGAACCTTCAAAAGGCAGGACTGGCAAAAACCAAGTCCTGCTCTCTTTGTTACAAAAACCAAATGATGGTTTTGTGCTTGGGTATCTTACGTTTGCAATGTGAGTCCACATTGAGTGGAAGCACAAATAAAAATAAAAAATAGCCATTTTAGAGAGCAGATTTTGCTTATTCCACAAGATTAAATCCCTGGAGCTGCCATTTTCCTAGTAATTTCAAAACCAGACATCGGTTGTATTTTTTCCTAAACACAGTTGTCTTCATTTGAACTTCTCAGAGGGAGTAAGCCCCTTCAGGATTTCGCTCAACTTAGCGAGGGCAGCAAACAGCGTGCCCCTTACACATGTTTACTCTGTATCCCGGCATCACATTTATGAGGTTAAGTGGCTCCAGTGTACTCCAGGACACATGCACGTAGCAGGAAAGTTCCGAAGCTGGCAACTCACATTTGCCCAAATTGATTCCACATCTGCCTTAAGTAGATCCACTCCCTCTGATACAAGCATGCTTGCTTTTTTTTTTCTCTCCCCTTGCAAGTCAGTGTATGCTATTAGAGGTTGAAAATAAAGGGGATGTTTTAGAAAAGAAGAAAAACCAGTTAAAAGTCAGCCTGAAGTTCAGAATACTACTGTGGGTTACTGTTCCTTCTTGGAAGAAAACTAAATAACTTTGCTAAGTTATAAGACATTCCAAGCCTAGCTCATTTGTTCACACTGCACAACCCTCTAGTGTGAAAATCTTACAGTAAAATTCTCAACCAACAGAAATATGAAGAAACCTCATCTATCCAGAACAATGCAGAAACAGAAAGCAAATACCAAAACAGAAAAAGAAAAAAAAACAAAAACAAAACACCTTGGGGCAGCCAAAATGTCACAAAGCCCTTGTACTTTATCCACACCAGAGCCTCTAAATCCACATTAAAAGCGTTTACTTTTATTTGATGCCAGATTCCAGAATTTTGGCTAATGCGTTCCAATCTCACTGTAGACTAGAAGCAGCAAATCCGAGATGAAGCCAGAGCCTCTTCCTTATAGCTGTGAGTCAGGACAGAGATAAGAAAAGCCAGAAATCTCACAAGCACAGCAGGCAAACGTCTGACCTACCCCCAAAGCCCCTTAGACACAGCTGTACAAGAATAATAAGCTCAAATTACAAAGGGCGGCTGAATTATGTTTAACAGCCTTTATTTAAGGTGGAAATGACATGTGGAATACATTTTAGAAAAAATGATTAAAATATAAAATTGAAATGCCTCATCAAGACTCTTTTGGTTGCATGTGACAAACCCAATCTAAACTGGTGCAAAAAGGGAATTTATTGACATTATTCATTCATCCAGAGATATCCTGCTTCAGACATAAATGAACCCAGGTGTGAACAACATCATCTGGATCTGGCTTCTGTCTCCTATTGTTTCTTTCTATGATTGTGTTTGTTAGTCTCAGACCAGCTCTGCCCTCATGGTGGCAAGATGGCTGCAAATAGCTCCAAATCTGATGAAAAAGAGACCACATTAATCTAACCACATATGCCAACAGGCAAGATTAACTCGAGCTAGACCTCATTAGCTTGATTTTGGTCCCTTGCTAACCTCAGATCCAATCTCTGGGGCCAGGAGTTTGCACCATGTTCTGATTGGCCAGACTTGGACCACATGCCTGCTCCTGGGGCATGGGGTGAAGTCAGCACCCAAAGCAGGGAGAAAGAGTGGGAGAGGGAAGAACTAAACTGGGGTTAGGAAGTGGGATTAAATATCCCCATGAGACAGGGAGTGAGATGTTGGGCAGAGAGTGACTAACCAGGAGAGAGAAAACCTGTCACTGTCTAGGATATCGAGCATGACTCTTTCTTTTGGAGGTGCTGGGCTTAAGCACTTTTTACATTCGCAGATGATTGTGACTTATGTCTTTCATAGTCTAAAAAATGATTACAACTGTAGAAAATGATTATGACTCTGGAGTTTTCAATTACGTGACCAAATTCCCTTTTAGCACCATGTGGAGTTTGGTTTTCTGTCACTTACAACCAAAAAAGTCTGGACAAAGCATCTCTTTTTTTTTTTGGCATTTATTGTAATCACAGAGGGTAACAGAGAGAACCTCAGGCAGAGACCGCCATCCCTGTACTGTTGCCTGGCTCTCAGAAGGAGTGGTGACTCCTCTTTTCACCCCAGTGTGTTCAGACGATCAGTTTGGGAAACACCACTTAGCAGAAGCAGAGGAGGGAAGGGACGCCCTGCTGCTTCCAATCAGCTGTGGGGTCCTCGGGGAGGGTGACCTCCTGCCACTGCCTGGCTGTCCTGCTCCAGGAAAGAGAGCAGCCGAGTTAATGTCCCCCTTCAGGCCACATTCAGTGGATCAGCGCAGCAGGCGACCCAGCCTGCTACCTTCCCACACACAGGGGTTGCCAATGAGCCGTATATTTTGTCACCACCAGGCAGGATAAGCTGTGGAAGGCTTCCCGCACTCAGCAGGTGCGAGTGAAGTCTGGGAGAGTGAAATTGCTTGTCCTTGGAGTCCCGCCCAGGGCTAAGAAACGCGGGTGTTTCATCTGCTGATGCCTCAGAACCCGGAGCCTGTCAGCTGGCTGAGCACACAGGGCTTCTGAGCCGCGGGGTCAGGACCTGAGAACACCTACCAAGCCCCGTCCTCCAAGTCAGAGCTTTGTAAACTACCTGCGGCAAAGCCCAGTTATTTGCTTCTAAGCACCAATCCGCCAGAGACCTGGAAAATACGATAAAATTAATCTCATTAAAAATTTTAAAAAATATACAGAAGAGCCAAATTTTAAAACTCCGATTCATAAGACAAAATCTGCTATTAATGTTTCTCAATAATTATTCTTTGTTTCTGTACCTGTCACGTGGACAGGTGAGTCTCACACAGACCACTTCCTGCTTATGATACTTCATGTTTATTAATTAAACAAAGCTTATCAGCTTGATCTTCAGGCCCTAAACACCATTCCTTTCATTTGTTCCCTCCCTCATTCTTTCTACTGCTCATTCGATCCATGCAAATACTGACAAGTGCCCAGTGTATGTCCAGCCAGGGCTGGTGGTGCACAGGCCAGGTAAAGCCTCTGGTTCAGTGTCTCGCCACACAAGCCTGCATCCCAGCCAAACCATCTCTCAAATGTGTGCTTAGCTTTGCTGACTCCACACCTGTGTCTCTCACTGTGTGTCTGAATCCCAGGCACTTTTCATAGCTCTGTTCAAATGTCAGCTTCTCCATCAATGATAATAGCGATCATTCATCTGACCTCTGCCAGGTCGATATTTGCTGGGCACCTCACATACAGTATGTTCCTAATTTCCCCAACAACCCTGCGGGATAAGTTTTACCATCCCTCCTGAAACCCGTACTCCTCCCGCTGGACAAGGTGGTTCTCTGGAAAGTTTCCTGATTCCACAATCTTTGTATCTTTTTTAAAAATGTATTGAAGTATGACATACATTTAGAAAAGTATGTGAATTTGTACAGCTCAATACACCCATGTAACCTGCACTCAGATCAGAAAAACAGAATGTTGCCAGTGCCTTGGAGACTCCTATACCCCTTCCCAGTCACTACCCCGCCCCCTCTTCCTAGGAGTAGTCACTATCATACCTTCTAACTCTATGGCTTAACTCATCCCATTTTTATTCTTTATCTGAATGGAATCTAAAAGTACTCTTGTGACTCGCTTGGTTCATTCACATTGTTTGTGAGATTCATTCCATTGTTGTTCTTCTCACTGCTGCATTGTATTCCATCGTGTATGTCACAGTTTATTTAGTCATTGCATTGTTGATGGGCATTTGGTAAGTTTCCAGAGCTGCTGTGAACATTCTAGACTGTCTTTTGGTAAATTTTGGATGGATTTCTGCTGCATAAATAACTAGAATTGCAGGGACACAGGGCTTGCATGTGCTCAGTGTCAGAAGACACTCTGAACCTCTTTTAAAGGTACTTTTAATAGTTCACATTATTTTAATCTTATCTGTGGATTTACATCATTTCCTTTACTAGATTGTAAATGGCTTTTCAATTGAATAAATACTGTTTGTGCCCAAGCTCAAAAAAAAAAATGAGGGTTCTAACATACAATATAAGATCAAAAACTAAAGTGGGAAAGGAGAAAGGAAAATAAAGTTGGGAAAAAAAGAATGAAGGGAATGTAATGGCTCAGATAAATTCCACAAGGTCCTAGGTACTTTTTCAAAAACTAGACCACAAATGTGGTTGAGCTTCCTATCAGCCAATACAAAGAGGGAAACAAGTTATACAAATTAACGTTCACAGGACATGCACCAACTGTTTGGCAGTGTGGCTATTTCTGGTGCTGCGATTAAAAAAATGTCAGCCAGAGTTTTCCTAGAGAGGGTATTGTTTGACGTTGAAAATGAAGGAGCCAACAACTTCATTTCAGTTTTAACAATAGGAAATTTTGTCAGTTTCTCCTCTGCTCTTATAACCTCCCTCATTATGGACATGCCTAAGCACAGTTCACAAGCAACTCTGAGCGAGTGCAACCAGATATACATTCCTCAACAGGTCTAAGTCCAAGAAAAAGAAAAAACAGACAACCAGACTCAAAAGTGTGGTCCAGAGACATTTCCAGGTCTCTAGGACCTTTTCAGGGGGGTTGCATGATCATAAGTATTTTTACACTACCATTAAAGCTTTTTTGCCTTTTTATTCTCATCTTCTTATGAGTGTATACAGTAGTTTTCCAAAGGCCACATGACGGAGCAACAGATCAAATGCAGAAGTAGAAATGAGAATCTAGCATCTTCTATTAAGCCAGACATTAAACAAATGTGCAAATTACTTTTTTGTCTTGGAAAATAAAATTTTCACACAAAAATGTCATATTAACCTATATGGGTTTATTATTGATATTCTTAAATGAGTTAATATATTTTAAAAAATATTTTAATTTCTAATACAGTATAACCCATAGAAGAAACACTTTGAAATTCTCAAAAATGTTTGTGTGTTAAAGGGGTCCTGAGACTAAAAAGTTGGAGAACCACTGGTCTAGGGGAGGATTTCCCCTAAAGGATGTTGGTGGTCATTAGGTCCAGAAGATAATCGGTAAAAAAAGGCTCTGCTGTAATAAATACATTTGGGAAATGTTATGTCTCTCTTGGAAATGGTCAAATTAGAAGCAAATAAACCTAATTAACTTTAACTCTGTTTCCTAACTGTATTTGATGAAGATCCCTCTTTCCAGTGCTTCCAGCGACCTCCCAGAGGCACACCTGGAAGCTGCCTGGAGGCACTACAAGACCCTCCGTCAACACTCTTACAACCTTACAACCTGGCTTTTGTCAAGTGTGGGCAGCAGAGTCTGACATTACACCTCTGATAACATCAGGAGTGATCCTTTCAAAAACATCAAGGCAGCTGAGCAGGACAGGAAGCCTCTTTATCTCTGCAAAGAGGTAGACCAACGGCAAGGTCAAGACCAGGACAAAGATCCCACCCAGGAGACTAAATTGAATCTGTTCCAGGCGACAAATAAGCCATCAGGGCCGCCAAGTTCTTCACTACGACATTCAGACACAGTCATTTCAGCTTGGATATTTTCCAAAGCAGATGGGACCAGCACTGGCCACTGTGACAGAGAAATCTCAATTAAGCACCCACTGGGTGCTTGACTTTAAGTCACACGACCTTCTAGTGCCCCTTCCAAGGAAAACAGTGGTCAAACGTACGCAGAATGAGTCAACTTCTTTTATTGGGGTTGTTAATTGTAAGTCAACTAAATGTTAGGGAATGCCTACCAAAATATGATGACTTTGGTTTTGGAACTATCAATCTCATTTCTTTTTGACAGTAATCAACATAATTATGCCAGTTGTCTGTTAAGCAAACTCCCAGTTCACAATAATGAAATTATGTCATCAGGCAGCTCATCTCAAAGAGCACACATGCAGTAATGAGCGAGGCACTCCGCGAGACGGAAAAATGAGGGGTGTGTCTCTTCAAAAGCACATCATCTAGTAAGCGGGCAGAAAGAGCACTAGAGCAAGAAGGTACCTGGTAGAGAATCACATTCAATAAATGTCTGTCTCCACAAATCTGCTCTTTAAGATTTCTACTTGTATACAATTTGACAACCACCACACAAGTATCTAGTCAAATAGTACTTCTTGGTACAACTTAATGAGCTTATAAAAAAGGATTTACAAAAAACACTTATACCATTGTCAAATAAAAAGAAATCATTTTAATACACACATTTGTACTTCCTTTAATTCAGCACTGATTTCTACTACACATGCACACCCATGTAGTTTGAATTTGCTTCATATTTATTTTCCAACGGGCAGCAACTTTCCCAATGAGCTAGTTGAGCTGAACTGTTTATTCTTAAGTAATAATGTACCTTGTCCTCAAAGAGTTTTATCTACTTTAACATTTTCGAAGAGCCCTGTGAGACTGCTCGCTATGGTGGCTTTTAGCTGAAATTTCCTTTTGGAAGATGGCAAAACAGACAAACAGACTAGGATCTTCCCAAGTCTACTGGTTGCTTACATTCACATCCCAGCTCGGTTGGGTAAGAGGTAGAGACGGAATAATAAGCAGATCGCCTCCAAACACAGCTGGGTGACAGAGCTTCACTTTTAGAAAGGAAACCGAATCATGAAAGCCTTCCTAATGGTGTGATTTGTTCCAGGGTTCTCTGATATTTAAGAAGGGAATTAATTCTTGTGCACAGCACTCTTGACGACATTAGAGACTTTTCTTCTCCAGCCATCATTCTCTAGCCAGGCGATTTATTGAACTTGGGGCAGTTGAAAGCACGAGGACTGTCTCCTTTCACAATCAGAGGTGGGGACAGCCTTCTCATTTCCGGCCAAATGGATCCGACCACACTTTTAACCCTATAGAGAGAAACAGGAATAAAAACAGGATTCGTTTGTAGACTTCCTACCACTTCCCTCGACCCCAAACAAACAAGATGACATCAGAACTGAGTTGTGCAATTTCCATGCAGTTTGAGGCAGGGCAGGGAAGCTGTCAGAGCCCCGGAATGGAAGGGCTAGGAAGCTGAGGCATCCATGAGGGACTTTTAAACGGCTCAGAAATGGCCCCATGACAGGGAGATATGTATTTGGCCTTGTTAAAAAAATAAATAAATAAAAAAGACCACAGCCACAGATTATAAGTTTTGGCTAATAAGCTGGAAACCTCTCATTCTCAGCCAACTTGGATCGTCTTAAAGTAACTAACTGTTCAGCCATAAAGGGAACTTTTGAGCTTTTGTATAAAGCTGAATCCTGCATCAATTAAAAGAGCTCACAAATAAACAGTATTTTCCCATGAGGGTAGTGTTTAAATAGGTGCTTGGTAAATAAGCCTGCAAAACAGCTATTTGCGCTTCATATTTAATTGCACGCTTGTTACACGTTGGTGCCCCCTGATCAAATGCAACAGAGAAACGTGCAAACTTGCAAAAACTATTCTGGAGTGAAATGGTAAGATGAAGTCTTGGGGTGGCACCTCTGAAGCGGCAACTGCTGTGGAGTAAACAGCACAATCACAATCGAGCCTCGAAGCGAAAAAAGATTTCTCCCGCTACAAAGCAAACATCCCCCACCTCCCGCCCCGACAACACAATAGTCCACGTGGGACTGTGCTTTGATTTTTAAGTTTACCTGGTGGCTGCACATCTTCTTGAACAATACCGGCTCGATTTACGGCTTGTTCCTTCTCTAAGAAACAAAACAGAGAAATTACTCTTTAGAGAGGGGTGTAGGGGGCAGCGGGAGTGGAAATCCTATCTAGACGGGAAAATTAGAAAACAATGGAGCTGAGTGCTGGCAGATTCAGAGCCGCTATGCAAAGCTTTTAGGTTATGGAAGTTAGATCCCATCAAGCAAATAGATTGGACATTTTCAGTAAAAGCAAGCAAGCCGTACTTCAGAAGAAAAGCTCCCAACGAACATCTTTTCTCGGTGATCTCAGCAGTTTGGAAAGGCAACAAAAACAACAGAAAAAGAACAGTTTTGAAAGAACTGGTGGGTGTGAATATTAGGAGGGCAAGGCTGCTGAATTGAAGAAACAAGTACAATTAACAAGAAAACGATGTAGTTTATGTGTCGAAAATGTACTCCACTGAACGCCTAGACCCAGAGCTAAATATGCTGTTTTTGATAGGAAATAGAGCAGAAAATTAATCTTTGGGTGGGTGGCTTTGGCTGGGATAATTGAAGCTTCCCTAATTGATTGCAGGTGCTGCGCCAATTAGTAAGCACGTTTTAGTGACAGCCGCTTAGCCGATCTCTTTGGAGATGTCCAACAGGCGAGGGCCAAGAGAAATTGGGCATTTTATGTCTGTGGGCTTCAAGCACTCTGACACATCTTTCTAAGTGGTTTCGAATAAACCTAAGGGCTGTGAAAACAAAGACTTATTATTCTAGGTCTCTTGACAAACAAATGGTGGCTTTTCAGGAGAAGGACTTAGAGCCAAGGGATGTTTATTACTATATTATAGTAATTAAGTGTTTAATCGGAACTTTAATCAGGCTGACAGTGTTTCTTTAAATCCACATTTAGCTCTTATTTAATATTAGTCAGTTTTCTTTATTCTGTTGTTTGGATTCGTATAAAGTTACACAAGCATAACGGTACAAGAAACAGGAATTTGCCAAACTGGGAATATTCATTGAACTTGCTTCTCCCGCGATGTGACAGGAAGTCAATCCTAAGTGGCCTATCTGATAGTTTTATCAATGCCAAATTTTGCTTTGGCAAATAAAACACTGGGCAATAGGAATGATGTGAATCTTGACATCCAACCCTAAGCAAGAAGACACAGCATGAGGAAGCCCCTTATAGACAACAGTCCGATAGTTTCACTGGGCCTCTCTGAGAAGCAGCAGGTGAACAACAACCAAGACCCTGTGGACCAAGAAATGCCAAAGACTTCTCCCATCCAGAGTGGATGATAACGGGGCCTCTCAGGTGTCAGACTTTCTAAAATAACTCAACACAGAAGCAGAGC